TGTAAAATAACTCCCAGAAGAAAGATCTTGCATGTCACTCGCTAGTTTTATTCGTGCCAACGTTGGTATTATCATTTTGAAACTATTTTAAATATGTTACAGGATAAATAAGTATACTAACGTGAGTCAGATCCTAACACTCCATATACAAGAAAATAGATACAGATACAAACAAGTGTAACCTGTCATTTTGAATTTGGATTTGGAGGTAGTTTTAGGCATGGAAGTAGGGCCATTGGCCTATCCTGTCAGCATGAACAGCTACAGACACGGCCAAGCGTAGGTAGCAGCTGTCTGCAGGCTGTTGGCTCGGGGCGAGCACCATGGTCACACCCTGGCCCTCAGCTCGGGGCACTTTCCACAGACAAGTGGGCACAGACACAGCGGCTGTGTCCCTGGACAAAGGAGGCAGAAATCGGAGCTGGGGCTCCTGGGAGCTGAAATGTTCTGGGCAGGTGTGCAGCAGGGAGACTGCTGCTCGTGTGTCCCAGCAGCAGACAGCCGCGGGAACTCGAGGCCAGGTAGAGATTCCAGACGCCATACAGCACGTGGAGGCTCTGGCATTCGACCTGCCGGAGCGGAGGGATGATGCCAAACACCCCAGAGACCCCATCAACAGCCCGGCACAGCCGCCCATCAGGGGCGGATAAACACTCTCCCAGAGCCGGTGACCAAGCCTCCACAGGACTTAGGCTCTGCCGGAACACCACTTTTTAAAGGACAACAAAACTCCGACTCTAAGTCATGTAGCCTCCACAGTATTCAGTGTGCAAAGAAGCAGAATAATGTGACCCGTGACAAGGAGAAAAAGATCTCAGTAGAAGCCACGGGAGGTAATCAACAGCATGTCCCCCGCGCCTGAGGTCCTGGCATCCGTGCCCACGTGTGACCCTGCCCGGGAGCGTGTGCGGGTCTCACCGACAAGTACAGCAGAAGCAGCAGGGTTTTGCCTGCGTGACGGGGCTGTGAGAAGGCTGGCCTCTATCATGGAGGCCCTTTCTGGCTCTCTCCGGAGTCCCTGCCGTTCTCTGAAGTCACAGACACCTCTTCTGATGCCAGCAGCATACAAAGCACATGTCCCCTTGTTGAAATGTCCTACGGATTTTCAAAAAATGAGTGATTTCGGTATTCTACCAGTGGTGTATGAAATGTATCTTGAGAATTCTCCTACACCTCTGTTTTTAAGATGTTACTGAGTTTGGGGAAAATTAAGTGCATGTTTTCTATCTAAATATCAGCCAAAAAACCATCGTAAGGTGGGGAAATATATCCTGTGAAGTTTGGGTCCTGATAACCACGGGCAGTCTGCTGGGAAAATGTCAAATATTCTGTGACACACGGCAGACATCTGGCTCTCCAAGGACGAGCGTTGCCTGAATCCACTACTGGAATTATGCTACAGAGTGTGGGAAATGTTCTAGATTAAAAGAGGCTAAAAATTGTCCCTTCTGGGGAGATACTCTAGGAAGGGAAGGGGCCCACCCAAGCCCTGCTGCTTTATATCCCGTCGTGAAGAACTTAAAAGGAAAAATAGGAAGGCGATCAGTTTTCCCTCCATGAGCATAATACCGTTGCCCCGCCGGGGGCTCAGGAGACCCTGGAATGTGTATGGAAACAATGCAAGTGAATGGTTTTGTGTTCCACTTTGGAAAGATACAAAGATAAGACTCTCTAGAAGTTACTGTATCAAAGACGCTGTTACAGTGTTGCACCGGCCGCGTAAAAGTTCCAGTTCGGCACTCCCTGAATCTTGGAGAAAACCGCCCTGAGGCCAGGCTGCAGCTCATCCGAAGTGCTGGGATCTGGGGTTTGTAAAGCGAGCCGCGCCGCGGACGGGTGACGGGCCCGCAGTGTGAGACGGAAGCTTGTGCTGTGGCAGACGGGAGTGAAGCTATATGAAACAGAAGAGGCCCCGGGCGCTCCACACCAGAGTCCGCCGCGGTGATGGCAGGGAGATGTCTCTAAGCAGACGATGCCACAAAAATACTTCTTCCTTCTAAACAGTGCCCTGCTGATGGTTTTGTTAAATGAATATACATTTTGCGTGTTTTAAGGCCCAGGCGCCATTTAGTGATTCTCCCCTTCAGTGCACTCTCTCTCAACTGGCCTTGACAGCGCAGCCACGGCGTCTCACGTGGCACTTGGCCACGTGAGCCACGCAAGTTGTACGAGTGGTTAGACTTAGGCTTAACAGAATAACACTTAAGAATCTGTCCGTAAAGAGTTACCCTCCGGGGGCGCCTGGGTGGCTCAGTCGTTAAGCGTCTGCCTTCGGCTCAGGTCATGATCCCAGGGTCCTGGGATCGAGTCCCACATCGGGCTCCCTGCTCGGCGGGAAGCCTGCTTCTCCCTCTCCCACTCCCCCTGCTTGTGTTCCTGCTCTCGCTATCTCTCTGTCTATTAAATAAATAAATAAAATCTTTAAAAAAAAAAAAAAAGAGTTACCCTCCACTGTCCCTTCCCGGGGGAGGCGCTCGCTCAGGCTGGCAGCAGAGTGCCTTCTCGGCGTCAGGGCCCTCGTGACACAGTCCTCAGTCCCTCCACAAGGGCTAAGACCTGGGTTCTGGTGGCACATGAGGCCCCCAAGAAGTTCTGTGAAAATAAGGCTCCTTGTACAGCTGGGTCTGGAAGTGTGTGTCATCGCAGGAAGTTAATAAAGACAGTCATCTGGCCGTGGCCGTGGAACTGCTCACAGGCTAGCCTCTGGCCGTGAGAAGCGCCAAGATGGTTTGGCTCTGCTTGGGCAGTGCAGAGGCTGCGTCCCCAGGAGAGCGTGGCAGCTCGGTTGAGCTGAAGAAGCAGAGATCGAAGTTTATGGTGAGACACGGCCCTGGAGAGGGGGTAGCTGTGCAGAGAAGGGGCCCCAGAGGTCCATGTGGGGATCCCCTGTCAGTCCATGGCTGAGGGCTGAGCAGTCTGGGCACAAGGCCCCCCCTCAAGGCTCACCCAGTAGTACCACTGGGGACGCAGGGCGGCTCAGTCCTGCCCAAGTAGAAGGATCTTACCAACACTCTTGGCATCCAGCTAGACTCCAGAAAGGCCTTTCCTGAGGGTAAGGACCACAGGCTCAGATTTGACCTACTTAAACCCACCCTAATAAAGTCTGAAGTCAGGCTTCAAGACTATCTCCAGAGGAGGTGGGGTTTGGAGGCTAGTCCCCACCAAGTTAGAGGGGCCCTGACAAGGTGTGTGACACCAAACCCACACAGCCCAAAGGTGATCAGCCAGCAATTAAGTTGCTTGTTAGAACAGAAAATCAACCCTTTTCAAAGAATCCAGTCTCTATAACATATTATCCATAGTGTCTAGTGTTTGATCCAAAATCACTAGATGTGCGAATAGGAAAATGTGATCTATGCTTAAGAACAAGTAGTGGTGGGTGACTGGGTGGCTCAGTTGATTAAGCGACTGCCTTCGGCTCAGGTCATGATCCCGGAGTCCTGGGATCGAGTCCCACATCGGGCTCCCAGCTTGGCGGAGAGCCTGCTTCTCCCTCTGACCCTATCCCCTCTCATGCTGTTTCTCTCTCTCTCTCTCTCTCTCTCTCTCAAGTAAATAAATAAATAAAATCTTAAAAAAAAAAAAAAAGAACAAGTAGTGGTAAGACACCAAACCCTCCGCCACTATAGGTTCACAGAGGACAGGTCTGCGCCCTGTCCTTCGGGAGGCACGCCCCTGCTCTCTGCCTCTGTGCGTGGGGGGCCCGGGGCCGCCATCTCTCCAAGCGTGTTTCTAGAACGGGCACAACCGGACCTGGGGGATCAGACCGGCAGGCGCGAAGCTGGTAATGATGCATGCGCTCCCGGCAGCTCTTCCGCTTGCCCCTCATTTAAAGTTCCTGTCATCCAAAACCCTTGTGAGCAGTGACAGGCTGGAGCCCACTTGCCCTCGCTCGTCGGAGCTGTGCGCCTCATCCCAGCTCTGCGGTCAGGGACCCGATGTCGGTAGCGTGAAATCAGCCATGGCGGGGTATTTACACCACAGGAATTGGCAGGCAGTCAAGTCAGGGCTTTTTGATTTCTCTGGGAGCTGGTTGCTGAATGCGTGCCACACAGCACCTCACACGCGTACCCGTCCTGAGCCCTCGCCCCCACCTTCAGCCAGGCGCTTAGTGCATCTTGCCTTCAGAGGCCCTTCTGCCATCTGTTTTCACTTGTTCCTCTGCTGTATTCTTTGGGAACTGGTAGAAACCAGGGCGGCTCACCTCCCTGAGCCCCCTGCCCTGCCCCCCGTGACCATCCACAGGACAGGTGTGGACTGAGCTGGTCAGAGGCACACGCTGTGACGGGTACTCTGAACCCAGAGGCCTGCCATGCCCTTGTCTTGACGGTGGTTTAAAAAGTCAGAGAACTCTGCCCAGCTCTGGCGGGCCCCCTCCAGGTGGGCCATGGCGGTCAGGAGGATGGACCCTAACTGCTTTGAGCAGTACAGCTCAGACCTCGGAGCCCCTCGTCCAGCTTTATATCCTGGGGACGTCACGTGGGCAGTGGGAGATCAGTGGTGGGGGGCATTTCCCTCACAGACACCAGCAGTGTCCCTAGTGGGACAGGCCAGAGGCAGCTTACGGGACAGATGGACGTTTAGTTGGCGTGGCCTCTGCCCTACTGGCCGTGTTAGGGTCAGAGCACATAGTCAGGCCTTGGGAACAACCATCAAGTTGGTCTGTAGGAAGCACAGTGGAACCTGCTTTAACGCTCTGCCTAGAGGTGGGGCGGGGCTTGTAAGCGGTGTTGCTTTGTCTTTTCTCTGTTGATCTTAACTTGGATTAGCCCCTGTTTGGTGATGTGGCCTAAGTTCTGGGCGTGAGCAAGAGCGTTCCCCTTGGAGTGCTGCTGGAAGGCGGCCAGGAGGTGCCAGGAGGCTCCGGGGAAGACACCAGGCTGTCTTCTGAGTGGGGAGGACTGGAGCGCGTCGGTGGGCTCCTGCTCAGATGTGGGGCCGGGAGGCCCCGGGGCTGTCCTGTCCTAGAGGCTTTCCTAATGTGTGTGCGTGTCCTCCAGATGAACGACAATCTCCTTGAGAGCTGGAGCGACCTCGATGAGCTGAAAGCGGCCAAGAGCCTGGAGACGGTGTACCTGGAGCGGAACCCCCTGCAGAAGGACCCCCAGTACAGGCGGAAGATCATGCTGGCCCTGCCCTCTGTGCGGCAGATCGACGCCACCTTCGTCAGGTTCTGAGTCCTCCTGGCTCCTGCCAGGTCCCTCTCTTCACAAGAACTTCCCAGCCACGGTTTTTATCCACCCGTTGCTCCTCAAGCCGGCACTCTATCAGCAGTCACAAACCCAATGGCAATAAAAAGGCACTGAGTGATAACTGCAGTGTGTGACGCCCGCGCCACTTCGGGACGCCGTGGCCCATACACCGCCACCTGGTGTTATAATGCCCGTGGCGCTCCCGCCACGTCTGTTTCCTCCTCCTCAGACGGGCGGGCTGGTGGGGGTGAGGGCGCTGCCTGGGGTGGGGGCACTCGGGGGCCGGCCTGGCAGCCCAGACCTGTTTGGTCTTATCGACCAGGTGACGCCAGGGTTTTTCTAATCATGCGTATTTCAGAACAAAACCGTGGGCGCAGGATCGCGGCGTCCCGTGTGCTGTGACCCGCTGGTCTCCTCGACAGCCATGGCCGTGCGCCAGGCCCCCTGCCGACCGCTGCCCGGGCCGCCCGTCCGTGGCTCTCCGAGGCCCGGGCTGCCCGCGAGCGCCCGAGGGGCTGCTGCCCGAGCGCCTGGCCGCGCAGTGCCGCTGACAGCTCAAACCCAGCCGAGGCTCTGCTCAAGACCTGCTCCAAAGAGCTTACGTCTTGACAGCCTCTAACGTCGCTTCCCAGTCTTACCCCGTCCTTGTGCCAGCTTGTTTCTTGAGGATTTACATCGGCAGTCACCCGGGGTCTGAATTTAATGCTGCGGGACCTTAGCCTCTCTTGGGGTCTCAGATTTCCCTGCTGCAGAAAGAGGACTGAATCGAGTGGTCACCGTGGGTCCCTTCTCCAAGATTCTAGAGTGGAACCGTCCAGTACGGGGGCCACCTACCGCCACGTGTGGCTGCTTCAATTCAAATTTAAATGTGTTAAAATAAAATGAAATAAAGCATTCACCTCCTCGGTTGCACTTGCCACATTCCAGGTGCTCAGTGGCTGCATCTCGCCAGGGGCAGCCCTTCCCCCTCCATTCTCATGAGGAGCCCAAGCAGGTCAGAGGTCCCCAGGCGACAGGGTGACCCCTGCCAGGAGTTGTGGATGTGGCAGTAGTTGGCCTGAAGCAAGGAGCACCTGCCTACAGAAAGCAAACGCGGCGAACGAGGGGGTGGGAGGGCGTGGGCTCAGAAGGGGCCTTGGGATGACGGCCCTAGAGGTCACAGAAGAAAGTTTAGACCCCAGGATTCACGATTGGAATGCCCTTGCTGAAAGCCTCACTCCCGGGAGCCCTGCACCCGAGCACAAGGCGGAGACCTGCAGGAGTGCAGGTGACGGGCCTGTGGAGCCCTCTGCGGAGCTGGGACGGCGTTCTGGCCCACGCACGGGAGGGACGTGCCCGTGCCCCGGAAAGACAGGGTGTGACATCAGCCACGAGGGCATCACTTTTTAATCTGGGAGGCAGAGCGTGGCCAGTGGCTGCAGAGATTGTGTGGCACGAGCAAGGAAAGGGAGCAATCGCTTATAAACGGTGCGCGGGAGGCCAGATGTTGGCGGTCGCCACTAACGGAACAGGTGTTTCCTCACGGGTGGGAAAAGAAACCCAAAGGACAGTAGGAGAAAGGCCTCAGCAGGCCCGTCCTCGTGGGGCTGGGACACGGACGCTTGCCCAGCGCATCTGTGCGTCACAGACGCAGGAAACTTCGGGGGTGGAGGGGGCAGGGCACGAGGTGCTGAACCCAGCGCTGTCCCAGTCATGGGCCATCCATTGAACCCTAAAACCCACACTGAGCCTTGAATGACTTTGGACAAGAGGCAAGAGAGGCAGTTTCCTGCTGGATCCCAAAGGCTGCAGACCGGGTTGGGGGGCGCCTGGCACGCCGTGGGCAGGACATCCCCTGCAGGGCCAAGTCCCGAGGGTCAGAAACCCCGGTGTGAACGGGAACATCAGAGGAGGGGCTGTGGGCCTCCCAAAGCAGGACCGCAAGACGGGCTTTTGATGGGTTCCTTCACACAGAAGTGGAATTCGGTAGCACACGGAACGCCAAGAGTAGAGCAGATGCGAATGAAGATGCTCACAGTGTGTACAACCAGCAAAGGCCGCATCGAAGAACCCTGCTGGAAACCGGCCCAAGGCGAGAGGAGGCACGTCAGGGAAGCCAGAGGGCCGAGGCCCCCCACCTTCCCCCACGCCGCCATCGAGACGCACACACCGCGAAAGGGGCCATCCCTGTGCACCTACCCAAAATTAGCTCATTAGAAAGCTCCCGGCGTGGGGTGTCACCGGAGGGGGGGGGAGGGACCCCAGGGGCACCTGAGCCTCAAACAGCGCACCCAGCCCTGGGCACCTCAGTACATGCTCCTCAGCAGGAAGCAGCCACAGTGCCCACTCGGAAACCCAAGGAGGCCACGGCCGCAGAGACCACATGTCCGTGGGAGAGGGCTCCGCAGGGGCACGCACACAGGAGGGAACAGCCCTCCACAAGGTCTGAAACAACCCCAAGCAAAGACACTGCCTGGGGTAGCGGTGGGGGGGCAGAGGTGGTGGAATGAATAATAAAGTGTGGGAAAGCCTGGCTACAGGGGGGTTCGGCGTCCTTTGAGGTACTTGGGTTACATCAAGGAAAAAAACAAGCCTTTTATTTTTTTAAGATTTTAAAAAAATCCCTGCCCTGGGGGGCGTAGATGAAGCGACAACCATAGACAATAGAAGGTGACTTGCCCTTTGGAAGAAAGCAGAGCGCGTGGACAGGCTCACTGGCGGCAGGGGTGGGGTGACCCTGATGAGGGACAGACCCGGGGCAGACCCACCCTGGGGGTGGGGGGAAGGAGGCTGAGGCGGCAGCAGAGAGGAGGAGGCCTAGCAGAGGGCGGGGAGAGGGAAGCCTCCGGCAGAGCATCCCGGAAGGGGGACCCGCAGAGGAGGCCTGGGAACCCCAACCCGTGGGCGTGGGGCCCTTGGCGGGAAGAGCCCGCGTGGGGAGCTAGATGTGGTGGCCCAGGAGGCCGCGAGGGAGGAGCAGGGAAGTTTCCTGGCAGGGGAGGCACCCTGAGGAGGGGCGGGGCCCAGGAACGCAGACACCTCCTGTGGCAAGAGGCCAGCAGCGAGGGTGGAGGTGGGCGGGGAGTGGACCAGGTGGCCACCCGGGGGAGGGTGCTTGCTCTGTGCGGAGGGAATGTTTGGGAGGGAGGTGGGGGGCTGCGCAGGGTCCTGAGGGCAGGGGTTGAGGGAGCGGGAGAGCGTGCGGGGCACAGGAAGACGGCCCACCCCTCAGACTGGGTGCAGAGCAGGTGAATGTTGGGGAGCAGCGGCGCCTCCGGCTGGCAGTCACTTACCAGGACCATTCAGCCCAGTGATTGTGTTGGGACCAGCCAGGTGCCCACCCCCAAGGGGGAGGCGCACTGGTTCTACCCCAGCCCCTGGGGTCTGTTCCCTTTCCAGGCTATCTGGCAGCTGGGTGGCCTGGGGCTCATGCTTAGCCCGAGGCACCTGCTGTCCTGAGGGCAAGGGCCTGCGCGGCCGGCTCGGGGCCGGGAACCTGGACCTGGCGGCTGGGCCTGCTGCGTCTACTGAGGTGAGGAAAAGCTGTTTTGTTACGCCACAGTTGGAGGCTTTTTTCCCCACTTCCACCAACATATTTCTCAGTGTTACACAAATGAATATAAAACGTTATCGTCAAAAAGCCCGGTGTAGCAGATCCGGGGCCTGGGCTCTTCTCCACACCTGCGACCCAGCACACCTCTGCTCCTGCTAACTTGCTTGCTTTTTTTTTCCTTTTCTTAACTTTTAAAAACTGCAAGAGTAATGCAGCTTGAAAAAATGTCAAACCATAAAACATTGTAGAAAGTAAACGTTTCAACCCTCCGCCGGGATGAGTGCTGTCTCCGGTGTCCTGCGTGCGCGTGGCCTCCACGGCTCCAGCTGCGGTGAGCGGCTGCCCCCTCGGCCGCCCCGCCGCTCTTTCCCGGCGGGCATCCCCCGGGGCCACCGCGAGCAGAGTGCCGGGAACCCCCCGGAGCTGACCTCTTCCCAGGCCCTTCGCGTGCGGCCGGAGCAGTGTAGAGTTGTCTCAGGCTGGGAAAACTCCGGGCCACCCCTTCCTGTCCAGAGGCCCTGTGGGATCAGGCGGACGCCCCCCTGAGGGTATTTCTCCTCCCTCCGCCTGCCTCACCCTGCTTCCCGGCTCTGGAGCATCCCCAGTGCAGGCGGTACCCGGGAATCCATCTCAGGGACCCCAGACAGAGAGCTCAGTGCGGACCCTCCAGCTCAGGGTGTCCCTGCTGGGCCCCGACCCACTGCACAGGGTCTCCCTGGGAGGGGGGTGGGGGTCAGAGATGCAGCCAAGACGACGGCGCCACTCGGGGTTTTGCACAAGAGGGCCCCAAGAGAGCAGAGCTGTGGGGAGGATGGAGTGGGACCCCTCCCTGCAGTGAGCAGGGCTGCACCCCATTTCACAGATGGACCCTGAGGTCGCACCCGGGAAGCGGCAGAACTGGCTGTGTCTCCGGAGGGGCGGCCCACCAGGCGGAGGTGGGGCGACCCCACTGCGGCTGCCCCTGCCCCTGCCAGACACCCCCGCTCCCAAGCCCTCCACAGCAGCAGCCGACCCCACTAAGGAAGTCAGGGGAGAAAGATGAGCGGTGTCCTTTGCTGGGAGGACCGTGGCATTTGCGTGTGGGACGTGGAAAGGCTCTAGGAAAATGGGCTGCCTCTGTTTGCAGACCCAGAGCCCCACACCCCCTTCTCAAACAAAGGCAGATCCTGTTCCAGGAGCAGGGGAGACCTTGCCCCCAGCCAGCTGGCTATGCCAGGCCCCTCTCCTGCCCATTTGCCAGGCAAGGTGAGGACATGTGAGTGGCCAGCCCCACCTGGGCAGGGCCACGAGGACACGGTCCCTCCCAGTTCTCTGCCTGCAGGTCTGGCCCAGACTCAGCTGCCCAGACCAGGTTCGTGCTGGAAGGGTGTCCACGACCTCAGAGGCCTCTTCCAGAAGCCGCCATGCCAGGTGGGAACCTGTTCCATGATGCAAGAGCCACGGGGAGGGAGGTGGGGAGATGGACTCCAGGGAGGCTGGGTGAGCACCCCCAGCCCATCAGGGCTCCCAATGCCCTGAACTGTGGGCTCACCCTGGTGCCCCAGAGGCCTGCCTGGCCCTGGGGGAGGATGAGAAAGGCCAGGTGCTCA